GGCTAAAGACGCGGCTTCAAGAATTACTCAGTCAAAAGCTCATTTCAGAGCTTGCCCCACATAAAACACTCGTTACTCGGGTTGAGACATAAAATCACAGGTTCCATCGCTCTCTGTCATGATTAAGAAAACAAGTTTCTTCTGCACAGCACAGGGAACTATGTTCAGTATCTTGTAATAATCTTCAATGATAAAGAATATGAAAACCGATGTATGCATGTACATGCATGACTGGGACACTGTGCTGTACACCAGACATGGACACATTGTAACTGACTGTACTTCAATTAAAAAAAAAGAATCATTTAAAAAAAACTTATGTGAGAAAACAGTAGACTCTCCTGCCAAGCCCTGCCCCACCCCTGTCAGAAACTTTACCTGATTGTCTAGACGACTTGAGGTGAGAAGACAGAGAACCTGGACCAGCTTTAGAGGAGTTCAGCTCAGAATGACTTCCGGTGTCATCGTCACAGGGAAACAGTCAACAGCGAGCTGACACTAGTAACATCGGCCTTCCGTTCAAGTCTCCACGAGTGGACACTGTGTGCAGTGCTCAGTGCACGTCAAGTGAGCTCAGGACGCGTCTGAGGGCACCAGGCCCACCGCCAGGTCCCGCCCTCCACCCAGCGCGCCTTTAGTGCTTTTGATGCCGGAAGTCCACGGGACACAAGCTGCTTGGGACCTGTGGCTTCATCAGCTCTACCAGCCTCACAGGGAGGAAGACAGGCGAGGACTCTGGACACCAGACCAACACCTTTACTCTGGCCTCCGGTCCTTCACAGCATGATTTCTCCAGAAATTCCCCAGGAAACACAAAACCTCTGGGAGGGACCCAGCTGAGCCACCTTGTTTAGTCTATTTGTCTTGGGGAGACCTTCCAGAATAACAGCAGGAAGAGGGCTCTGCTCTATAAAACAAGCTGTGGAGTGCTGCTCTCTGTCTTAGTTACGTGGATTCGCCTGGAAGCTTTATTTTGCTGAAGCAGCTTCAGCAGAGTGGGCATGACATTTTTTATGGTTATACCCACACAAAACCACATATGCCAGCACCTCCGCTGTGGGGAGAGGCACCCCACCCTCAGACACACGGCCCCAACCTCCCTGTCCGTCCAATCATAACTATCGAATACTGAGCCCCGACTGCGTTTTGGAAAACTTGGTCATGCGAGTTCTGTGCACCCGTGGGAGGGAACTGCTACCTCCCCTCCCGGAGGCGGCCTTCCTGCCTGCCCCGCCTCCACGATCTCCTGGGTCTGCCGTCCGCCCCTTGCTCGCCTCCTCCGCACGCGTCCCTGGCTAGAACGATGGAGGCATCCCACCACAGATCTGCGTGGAGCTGGAAGGAAGCTGTGATCTCTTGGGGCCGCTTGGATTGAAAGAAGAAGTCACCCTAGGGGAACACGAACCCCCGGGTCTGTGCCCCATGCAGGTACGGGATTTCAGTTCACAACACCTGCGCACAGACCAGAGCGGCATCGTCGTGTTGGCCCAGGCCCAGGGAAACTTCCAGATCCCCCTGCAGAACAGGGCACCAACCAGCCCCGCAGAGGCACCCTCACACCTGAGGGACCCTGGGGTCGTCTTGCTCATGATGAGTTTTACTGAAGTTTAGAAGTGATGCGGGTTCTGATCACAGCATCGCTCAAGAGAGCAAAGATGAGGAACTGAAATCTACATGGCCAGAAATCAGGGACCGACTGTCTTACAATGTGTCTACACAGTCAACACGGCAGCCTATGCAAAATGACATGTTAGAAGAACATTTCATAACATGGGAAAAGCAGAACTTGCATAAAGCCAGTCATAAAACAGCATGTGCACTGTGAGTTAGCCTGGATATAGCCTGTGAGCTAATAATGGTTTTTGCATTTCTAAGTGGTTGGGAAAAATCAAAAGAAAAATAGAATTTCATGAAATGTGAAAATAATATGAGATTCGAAGCTTAGTGTCCAAGAAGTTTTACTGGGACACGGACACCCTCGTTCTTTAAAACCTCGTCCACAGCTGTGTTTGCCCTGCGACAGCTTCTTGGAAGAATCGTGGCAGAGACCAGAGGCCTGCAAAAGTCTGAACTATTTACTAACAGAAAAAGTCTTCTCAAGGTGGTTCTGAGTATTTCTTGTGCTTCCGGGCATCGGACGCTAGATGGCGGAAAAGATCCTCACACTGGGAGGGGGCGGGGGGAGACTGCTGCCCTCTAGAAGGTACCTGCATTTCCAATTAAACCATCCCCTAGAAGTCAGCCCTGCCAAAGGGACAAAACGTGCTTCTACGTGTGTTCACTAACGCAAGAAGTAAGTGTCTAGAAGACACCGAAAGAGCCAGTCTAGAACTAGTGCCTGTACTGAAACCTGGCATTTATTCACTCCTGCCCAAAATAAATACTCCACAAATCTGCAGCATTGCAGGGACTTCTCAGCTTCCCCCCAGCTTTACTGAGGCACGGTTGCATGTGAAATAGTAACACATGGAAAGCGAACAATGTGACAACTTGATCTAATCATCCCCTGAAATGACTGCCTCAGTTAGGTAATGAACACCTCAGTCACCCGACAGGCTTGGTTTTTATATGTAAGAACGCCTCACATCTGCTCCCAGCGCTGCAGGGGGACAGTGCAGTGTTGTTAACGCCAGTGACCGTGCTGCACCCTCAGAACTGACTCACCTCACACCTGAAAGTCAGCCCCTCTCGCCTGGCCCTCCCCCTCCCCCGCCCCGGCAACCGCCACTCCACTCTCTGTTTCTAAGGCTCGACTCTTCTGTTTAGGTCCCACGGATCAGTGAGATCACACAGCATTTGTCTCTCTCTGACTGACTTCACTTAGCATTGTGCCCTCCGGGTCCACCCACGTCGCTGCAAATGGCAGGACCTCCTTTGTTACGGCTGAGTACTATTCCACGTACATTTACACCACGTCTTCTCTGTCCCTTCGTCCATCCGACACCGCGGCTGTTCCCACGCCTGGCTCCTGAGTTCCGTGTGTCTGTGTAGCACTCTTCCCTCCACAGACTGAAGCACACTGCGAAGCCTCCAGGTGAACCCCCTGGATTGAAAATCAGGTGGGGTGTGTGTGTGTGCGTGTGCACGTGGGTGTGTGTGTGTGCAGTCAGTGTATCTTTTTTTAATTGAATACAAGTGGTTTTACCACTTGACACAGTTTTTTTTAAGCATTGTACGGACTCAGCCATAAACTAGCTTGTAAGTGTGGTGAGTAAGGTGCATGGGTCACACTCACACACACACACACACACACACACTGCATCTTCATATTTACTGTCACATGAAAACTACCGGAAGGGGTAGCTCCTGAAGGAAGGACTCAAACCTGCACTGTCTGCGTGACATCACTCACGCTGACGCCTCGCTCCCACCAGACGAGGGGCGCCCAACACCCGGCGGGCCCCTCAGACAGCGCCTCACAGGCCCTCCCCACACCCGCGGTGCTCTCCCACCACTCGTGGGCCCGCTTCTTTCTTCTGTACCTTTCAGTTATGAACTTTGCCACAAGAAAGGAAAGCTAGATAGGACCAGGGGTGTCTCGAGGCCCAGCACCCAGTTCAGCTCAGTCTGTCGACGCCTCGCCCTCTGTGCGTCTCTCCCAGGGGCGACGCTAACGCACTAGAGAACGGCACCCCTCGTGACTGTGCACCTCTAAGTCAGTCACCACGCATCTCCCAACACAGCGACACTTCCCTGCATGTCCACACCCAGTCACGCACCTCAGAGTTGACAGGAATTCTACGCTATCCGCCAATAACCAGCGAATATCGAAACGTCCCTGTTTAACCTCAGGTGCCTGGTAGAGCTCTGCCATCGGAGCAGCATGCCATCCAGGGTCAGGGTTCCCACCTCCCCGCGAGGCTTCCTCTCCCCGCCTTTAAGCTAGGACAGCCCCTGCCCCGCACCCTCCACAAACACTTCTTTGCCAGGATGCTGGTTTTTGAAGAGACCAGACCGTCTCGCTGATAGAATCCGCATTCTGCACTTTTCTGGTTGCTTTCCTGTGGAGTCATTTAAACCACTTTTCTATCCTTTGTGTTTCTTGTGAGTCAGAGGTTAGGTCTAAGGGCGTAACAGCAGTGCTGCAGCCCTCAGATGCACAAGCCTGCAATTCTGCAACGTCCGGCGATCCCAGTTTTGGTCAAGTCGATCTGGGTCAATCGGTTAAGGCATCGACCACCACCGTACACGTCTGATTGTCCCTCCGCGACAAGCAAGTACCCGGGGGCTTACACTGCTGCAGCGGCTCCTCCCGGCACCTCCTCACGGAACGCTTTCCGCTTGTGACGAGTCAAGTGTTTCATTAAGAGCTGGCAAGTGGCCATTTTCTAATTCTGTTATCCCTTCCCTTTTTCAATAGCTGGTGCCAGCCTGCAGGGGGCGCTCCCCTCACTAGCTGCGAAGAGCCCAGCGCTCCTTCTGCAAAGTCAGAGTAACCGCTGGGTCTGTACCCTCCATCCCCATGTTTACACTAAGGAGTGGGGGGTCACAGGCGTCTCTAACTGAAGCCAATCAGATGTCTCTCCCCCGCCCCCCACCCCAGACACACGCAGACACAGACACACACACACCACGGCCTCCCGCATTTTTACTTTCACGCGTCTGTAGTCAGTCCGTTACTTCTGATGCTCAGTTTGTCCTTTGGCTGCCCTTGACAGCGCCCTCTAGCGGACGCTCTGACAAAGCGCTGTAACCCTCTGTCCTAAACAGCTCTTCCTGAGTCTTTTCCGCAGCTGAGACCACGGGTCTGTTCTTGGCTACAGACAGCAGCTTCCCCTCCTCCCGCGTCCGGCAGCCCCTCCATCGGAAGAGACCCCCTGCTTGCATCGAGACTGTGTTGCCCCGCACCGTCAGGGCAGGGACGGCTTCCACATCCCACAGACCTTCGCCCGACACAGCCCCTGGCACCAGGAAGCAGCCCTGTGGGCCTCGCAAGGGGGCCTCCCGAGGGCTCACACATGATCTGGCCGAGTTGCTAAGTGTCCAGCGACCTCTCTTACCTGGCATAGTAGTCGTTGGGGGGCACCGCCTCCTGGAAGAACTGGAACTGGTACAAATAGAGTCCAATCAAGTGTCCCGCTGTGAAAATAGCCAGCAGAACGCAGAGGCAGCTGAACAGCAAGGGGTCGAACGTCCGGCACCAGGACCACCAAGTGCACAGACCCAAAAACACGAAGAAGTAGACAGAGGAGGTCAGAGACGGCAGCATCATCCCTGCGGGGGGGGGGGGAGGGGAGCGACCGTGAAACGCTGCGGCGGAGGGAAGTCGTGCCCGCTCAGGAAACGACGCCTTGGGAGATTTGTCACTTTAGGGAAATGTCACCTCCATAGGCTTTTGGGTAAAATTGATCACATTTTATTTATCAAATCAGAAATAATCGTATTCTTATTGTGAAGAAAAGTTACACCTAAAGTGACGTTTGTCCACGTGGGAAAATACCAGCCGAGGAAGCAGTTCTGCCCGTGGTGTCCGAGCCCAGCAAACACTGACTTCCAGCCCAGGAGAATCCAGCCTGTTCCCTCGCCTGCTTCCCTCTCTCTGCTTCTCCCTCAGATTTTCAGGAGCGCTTGTGTGTCCATCCCAGCTTTCCCTGATACCAGCTCCTTTTATAACGATGTGCCTCTGTTTGGCTAACTAAGGCTCGTCGTAGTGTTACATTCAGTGGCAAAGGCTCACTAAACCTTGGTCCCGCCGGACGAGACCGGATTTGCACTATCACTAAAAGGGCAGCGGGAAACGGGTCATTTCTGTACAGGAACGTAACAACTTGGTGTGGGGGGAGCATTCTGAAATGATTCCTCCTTCAAGTAAGCAAGCTGCACTTCTGGGGAAATTCTAGTCTCTTTTCCATTTAAAAATGTTCCTATTGGAAAAGAGTTGTCTCATCTGGTGAAATTTCATTGATGTGGTGCGTTAGGAAGTTCACCGTGGCTCTGGAGCAACGGGGAGCAGTGTGCGGCAGGGACAGAGATGGAGGTAACGTTATTACAGAACGAGCCGCCTGCAGCCAACAGGGAGGAAGTACGTGTCTGTGCTGGGAGAGGGCAATCCACCCTGGAGAAAAAAAGCACACCCTGCGGAGCCAGATCAGGACGACTAGGACCCAGGGTGGCAGGCGTGCCTCAGAAAGCCCACGTGCAGCTCTGGGTGGACACACGAAAAGGATCCCCTGTTCTCAGGTGACCACTGACAGGCGCTGGGCAGGGCCCAGCTGCTTCCGAGCTGCATGCAGAAGTGACGCCACTTCACAGCTTCGGAAAAGACTATTTACAGAGACCATCCGAAAGCACAAAACCCAGGGCTGAGCAGGAGAAACTGTGTGTGCGGGGTTTGCACACGTGGCCAGGTTCACAGAAGCTACGGTTAGCGCCTCGGTGCCACGAAATACAACTGCTTCCTCCTTTCGCAGGAGACGCTCACCTGACGAGCCCAGCAGAATCGTCACCACCACCTTCCCCGCGGTGGTGATCATGTTGCCGATGAACTCCTTGAGCCTGGAGGCCAGCGAGGCCAGCCTGCGCAGCAGCTTCAGCCTGGTGCTTTCCTCCAGGTCGGCTGCAGCGCCGGCCCCCTCATCCAAGTCCTCTTCGTAGATCAGAGCCTCTTCTGAGTCTAGCTTCTCTCCTCCAGCCTAAACGAACAGAAGACAGAGAACGCTGCAGTCCGGAACTCCGCCTCCCCGCCCAGCAGATCCTACGGTTTGTGAGTTACGGGTCAACGAGGTGAATTTCACCAATCGGGAAAAAATGCAGACAACCACTCAGCCACGGAAGCCTCCCAGGTCCCTGGTGGTCCCTGTGTAAACCCAAGGGGCTCTGATCTCTCCTGAAGGAGTAAACAGGAAGCAGCACTAATCACAGGGTCCCTGCCGGTGTCACCTCACCTCCACGAGCTCGGGTTTTACAGGCAGGAGAAACCGTCTGCCACATTATTAATAATCTCAGCTTTCACACACACATATATTCCTTTTCACATTCTTCGTCATCACAGGCCATTACGGGGCACTGAATAGAGCTCCCTGTGCTCTACGGGAGGACCCTGTTTATTTCATATACAGGAGTTTGTATCTGCAAGTCCCGAACTCCCAGTTCACCCCTCCCCATCCCCTTCCCTGCCCCGGTAACCTAAGTTTGTCTTCTACGTCTGTGAGTCTGTCTCCATTTTGTGAATAAGTTCATTTGTGTCTTTTTGTTTTTAAATTTATGTATAGCTGAATCACTAGGCTGTACACCAGAAATTAACACCATATTGTAAATCGAGTATACGTCATCTAAAAAGATGTCCTAGCAAATTCACTTTCCTGTGATAAACAGATACTGTAATTAACCTTAATATAAATTTATACAAAAAATCTGTTTACATAAAATATAGCCTTAGCTTTCAGCAGCCTGGGTGCGGTTCTTCGAATTGGCAGAGTTTGCCCTGAAGGGGCGGGAGATTTGACGAACGTGCCCGCAGCTGCACCGGGAAGGATGGGCCTAGTCCGTTTAGGAAGTCCCTCTTCTTTCTGGAGTTTGTCTTTGTTCACTGTTTTAGTATTTCCTGCCCGTGGGCGGATGAGCGGTCCCGGCTACTCGGCTAAATCAACTGTCACCTCCCAGCTTGTCCTTCCAGAGAATCTGCAGCGGTCCAGTCACGGGGCGTTCAGGACCTCGGGACCGTCCAGAGGTTTAGGCGGCGGCACAGGGACAGACGCGTACTTCCATGGAGTCCTTTGCACTGGGGACACAGTGGTGGGGTTTTCTTTGTGTTTTTTTAAAGGATACATAAGAATTTGGGGGCTAATGAAAATCCTTCCCTGGAAGGGTTAGGACTTTTTTTTTAAGTACTTACAAAAGTAAACCATCGCCTTAAGACAAAAGGAGCCTGTTTTAGAAAATGCCTGAGACTTGTTTGCATTCGCCCGGAGGCTGACTTCCTCCTGCCAGGACTGCAGCTGCCTGCAGGTCCAGAAGGGTCATTGGGCCAGTTCTGACAACTATTTAAGGCTTGGAGGGTAGAGCCTGGCCCCTTCGTTTGCCCATTTTAAAGGCTTTTTCTTTTAAAATGTTTTTTTAATTGCATGGAAGATTCTTTAAATTCTATAGCGCTTTACAATTCTCGAAAGTGTCACACACATGATTTCATACAATCCCACAATAATCTTTGCTCCCCTCCCTCCACACACGGGTGACCACCAGCTTGTCCTCTGCATCTGCGTGTCTGCTTCTTTTCTGTCCTAGTCACTAGTTTGTTGTATTTTTTATATGCTGCATGGAAGCGATACGATACAGTATTTTCTTTCTCTAACTTATTTCACTTAGCATAATACCCTCAGGGGCCATCCATGTTGTCACAAATGGCAGGGTTTTCTTTTCTATTGCTGAATAATAGTCCACTGTATGTATATTACCACAACTTCTTTATCCATTCATCCACCCACAGACACTGAGGTTACTTCCGTAACTTGGCAATTGTAAATCATGCTGCTATGAACATGGGGGTGCACGTGTCTTTTCAGATTAGTGTATTGTTTTTTCAGATCTGTATAAACATTCGTTCTTGATACACTTAGTTCAGATATTACACAATATTCACCGGTGCTGCCTGCAGCCCCCTCCGTGCCCCTGCTGCCTGGAGGAGGGCAGACACAAGGGGGCTGGTGCACAGCCAGTGAGAGCCGACGGACCCAGACCCAGGGCCCTGCTGCTTGCCGGGATGGGTTCAGACCACTCGTGACTAATGTTGTCTGCTCATGAAGCCAGGTCTGCAGGATGCATCTGCACCCCTGCACACACGCCTACACACAGACACCTCCACACACACATACAAACACACACACATACACACGGATTCAATTTCCGGGCTGCTCAAGCCTAAACACCCAGGCTGGGTTTGGGACCCCACTATGTTCCGCTGCAGCACATTTGCACTTTTTCTAGGAGGAGAAAGAAGCCTCAGGCTTATTCCTTAAAGCTCTCCTCCCTGTTCGGCCCTTACATCCCAGCATCACTGTAGGAGGCAGAGCAGGCAGGCGCAGCCGGATGAGCGAGGGTCTCCCGGGAACACACGGCGCTCAGAGGCCGCAACAGGTGGACGTGGCTGTGAATGACGGGCTGGCTGCTTCAGATTCTGAGGTCCGGGAGGGCCTCTCTGAGGAGGTGACACTTAAGCTGAGATCTGAAGGCCACAGAGTCACCCGCCGTGTGGAAATCCCAGGCCCGAGCCTTCCAGGTGGCGGGAGGGCTGGTGGGGCCTTCGGGGCGTGTGCAGAAGGAAGGCGGAGTCCCAACCCGGCCCGCTCCACTCCCCCATCCTCCTCCCGTCCTGTGGCGGCGGTCAGGCCGCCCGCCGTGCTGCCCCGCTGTCTGCATGCGCCCCCTCCTGGCCACGCCGTCCAGGCTCGCTCAGCGCGCCCCTCCCGACCCCGCCCAGAGCGGCCCACTTCCCTGATGACTGCTCACCGCTCCTGAAGCCGCCCTAACAGGATGCCCCTCCACCCAGTGACGGGAACCAGGGGACCTGACCCCAGGGTGGTTCCAGGGGAGCCCGCATGGTGTAGGGGTGGGCGGGAGTGGAGCCCAAGAGGGCTCACACCTTGGCTGTCTGTCCTGGACGTGAGTCAGGGCCGGCGGTAAACGTCCCGGGGAGGGCGGAGGCGGGGGAGGACCTGAGGCACGGCCCACCCTGCCGTCTCTGTGGAAGAGATCAGCACACCCAGGAGCAGAGCAGGCTGGGGAATCTCGCTCTGAGACAGAGGTGCCACGGGGCAGGCGGTACAGGAATCTGGAGTGTGGGAACAGTGGGAACTGGACAGGTCTGCCTGGGGCTCACCGCCTTGTGCACGGCTGTCAAAGTCAGGGTCCTCGGGTTACCTGAGGAGGACACAGACATGCACACCTGCGGCCAGTCCGTCTCTCCACCCGTCCCTTCATTGCTTCTCCCAGAAACGTCACACACAGAGAACCACGGGGAGAACCCAGAATCCGCAGGCTCTTTGCCTTGGGATGTGCTGTTCCCACCCCCTGGGGCCCCATTTGCAGGGTCAAAGGCCCCATCTCCCAGGCCAGCCTTCCCCTAGCCTTCTCCATCTTCCCAGAGCTGAGAGGCTATGGAGACCGATGCAGTGACGCTGTCGCTATGACACTGACACGCCATACACACGCAACATCTGTCCCTGAATGTCCCCCACACAACAGGTGAGCGACTCATTAAAGACCCTCCTCGAGGAAGGAAGTGCGTCGGAAACCCGCAGTCACCGCACTTGTAAAAGGAGACACAGAACACAGCCAGAGCTGCTGGGGCCGCAGTCGGAAACACACTCCTCCCCACGTTTGTAAGAAACAACTTATTGCTCAGTCACGGAATTGCTACAGATGCAGATTAAATCAAGTGCAGATTTCTGGTCAAGAACCTTCGTGAGGCTGGACAAATACGTCTCCCTGACCTCTCGGGCGGCACTGGGGCCCCAGTGACTTTTACAAACATGCCGCTGTACTTGAGGTTTTCCAGCATTTCTGGACCGGAATCCTTGGGGCCCTCGGTTGGAAACACTTTCTAAAGCTGCCAGGCGGAGACAGGGCTGGAAGGGAGCCCCTACCGGCCAGGCCGGGGCCCGAGCTGCCATTAGTCACGTCAGGCTGGCGTGGTAACAGGCTGGCTGTCTCCCCAGAGCCATCCACCTGGTGAGGGTACACACCCTCCGCTCGCTCTGACGCATTCACCAACATGCAGCCTCGGTTGCTGGAGTTGCCATCTGTCCCCCACTGGGTCGCACCGGACTCCGGCCTGGAGCTAAGAGGGAGCAGCTGGGAACGAAGTCTTACTCCCCTGCTTCCTGGACTCTCTTAGAAACTGAAGACAAAGAGGCCATTTACAGCTTAAAACGCCAACTGAACCGGTTCCGCATCAGTATTGCCCATGGCAAAGTCAACAACACATCTGAAGAAATGCAGTTGCTTCCAGTCACCTTCCCAAGAAGCCCCTGACTTCAAGATGCACCAGATGAGCCGGGGCAGCCTCTCCTCTCCCGAGGGGAAGCTCTAAGTGCCACAGAGTCAACCGAGGGTGAGGTCTCACGGTCCCCGAGCCTGGATGTCACCCCACAGCTGCCTCTCGCCCTGCAGCCCTCCAACACACACAGCACTGGCTGTGGTCCCACCCAGTTCCAGACAGGGGAGACACCACAAATTACTCTCTGTAGAACCCCGACATCCATGTTTCCTTATCCCCAAGTCCTGAAAGACTCAACCTAGGCTGAAATAAATCCCAAGGATCCCCTGGGAATCTGTAAGAGGCCAGATTACAAGCACCACCTCGAACTTCTTCAGTCCAAAACTCTGGAAATGAATCCCAGGAATCTGCACGTTTACAGAGCTGCTGTGGTTCCAGAGCAGTTCGCCTAGAACCCCCGCCCTCGCCGACACCTGCAGCCACGGACTGACTGGCTGGACGCTCCGTGGGCGAGGCAGAACTGGGAATATTTTGTTTGAATCCTGCCTGGAGCTGACTCCCATAACTGGAAAGCAGAAGTAATTCATCTGTGGAACCTCCTTCAGATGTCAGCCAAGCTCCAGACATGAGACCAGGGCTTTTCATGCAGTGGAATCTAGCTTCCTCTTCCTGCGGTTAAAGCCAAGCTGCTGCAAACATCTGGATGAGAGCGACACAAAGTCACAGACAAGGAGCCAAAAGATCCGAGAGGCAAAGGGAGCATCTTTCCAAAATGTCACGAGAGGTTTATTCCTTGTTTATTATCGAAAGCTAACAGTTTATCCTAACGGAGTGGGTGCACCTCAACAGAAGAGCCCAAGGAAGGACAGGCCAAGCGCTGTGAGCCATTGCAGAAGACAGGCAAGTCACCTCCACAGTGTCCCCAAGGAAGCAAGCAGCGAGGGACAGGACGGGGGACTGGCTTGCATCGTCACGTGTGTCACGGGAGCCTAGCGTGACAACGTCGTGCAGAAAGAGCAAAGGTGTCATTCTGTTGCTATGCTTGTTTCAGGAAGGTTACTTTTTAACATAAAGGCAGTTAAATCGCCCCCTGTTCCACTTGGAAAAGCGAGCATATAGACATATGCTTTCAAGTACCTCCTGCAGAGGAGTAAAAGCTTAGTCAAGGGCAGCAAAGACAAACTGAGCCAGCAGGCAGCCAACCACCGGTGCGTTAGCCAGGACCGCGGACCGGTGGAGCTGTGACAGAACCAGTCCTGGGGCCACTGCCCCCCCCCCCCGCCTCCCAGAGATTCCGCCTGAACTGGCCTGGGGTGACAAACTTCCCAGGTCAAAGGCAGCTCAAGACGGTGGGGTAGGAAGAGCCCGAGCTCACCTCCGCCCTCGGACACAAGTGTGCGGGTGGATCGGTCCTCCTGGAAAAGAACCTGAGAGCTGCTGAACACCTGCTCCACGACAAGGGACAGGGGCAGGGAGGCAGAGGGGTGCTCTCGCCCCAACACGCCCCCCGCCCCACAGCACGACCACACGACAGGGAGGGGTCGCCGGATGTGAGCTTCTCCTGGGGGCCCCACATCAGGAGGTGTAAGGGCTGCAGGCCGGCGGGGCGGCCGGCCAGCCTCCTCCCACCCGGACGGTCCTGTGTTGCAGACGACCCTGTCTGTGTGCGTGACAGCCAGGATCAGAAGGCGCAAAGCAGGTGACTCTGCATTAACCTCAGGTGGGAACCGAGTGACACCTAATTAGAAGGTGACGGTAAAAGGAGATTGATTTCTCCCGTTCTTTGTTTCCTGCTCTTGAAAAAAATATAGCAACTCGAATCTCAAAGCTCACACCTGAAGCACAGCCCAGCGGACCACCTTCCATGCCAAATGCAGATGCCATGGTGGCCGGCCGGACGTTCCGTGTTAGAAAGGCGGGTGCAGATCTGCGGTGCAGAAGGAATTTCCAAGCAACGTCAGTGGGCTCTGAATGCTGCCTCCCTGCGCGTGCAACGGATGGGGGATGACTTACACTGGAATGTTCTCTAGTGCCTTCCCATGTTTGATTGGCAGACCTTCTAGAAGATGCCTCTTCAAGTGGACAAAGTCGAGACTAAAATTCCTCTTTGAACAAACATTTAGTTTTTCAGAAATTTGGTTTAATAACATATTAAACTACTACTTGCTTCAAAAAAATTAGGCCTGGCATCTCATTAAGTAGCTAGAAAGAGCTGGAAGTATATAAAAACACAGACACCATCAGCTTGGTGAAATGACTGATGTGACTGGTGTTTTATGGCAGATGACCTTCCTGCACGATTCAATGCTCATAACACAACCTGTTTTTGTTTTTTTTTAAAGACTTAAGAACAGGAATCTTTCTCCCAGCTACGGTTTGTGGATGTGCTTCTGAACTGAAATGAACAAATAAACAAGCCCAGAGATGCGTCAGCTGAAAGAGAACCTTCCAGGGCACCCGAGGACTTAGCTCCCGGCTGAGGTCTGCTCCCTGTGGAAGGACAGGACAGGCGCGGTCTCCCGCCCACGTCCCCGGGGGCCTCCCAGGGGAGCCCTCGGATCTGTGATGCCCTTCGAAACAGCAAGAAGTCCATGCAGACGACGGGAGAGTCCTGGGTCTTCCTCAGGGATTAACTGCTACTCTGAAACAATGCTGGATTTGAAAAGGAACTCTCCCCGGCACCAGTGGATTGATTAATCCGCCGCTTCTCCACTGGGATAAAATGAAACAGCAGCAAACCTTGCCCTTTCAAAGGTTCCTCGGAAACCATGCAATCTGGGCCGCAGACGCCGGGATTTACGGGCCACGGGAAGTAGGCCGGGGACTTCAAAATAAACTCAGTTCTCCTGCTTATTTTGGCCGTGAACTTCTCCTCTTTTCAGACTCCAGCCAGACTGTCCCCATGTTAGAAGTATCTCCAGGTGATTCATCTCAGGGGATCTGCCCTGAGATCTGGGGGCCGGAACAGACTGAAGAATGGAAACTATCATCCAAATTACGACCAAACAAGTGAACCGAGAGAGACACCAGCCTCATAACGATGATACTCAGTACTTTCAAAGCCACCAGGAACTCATGTTGACAGTCTCTCTTCCTCTGTTTGTTACGGTTCAATAAAGTCATAAACAACATGTGGGGCACAGGTATTTAAACAAATTTCAAATGGGAGGGAGGTGCCCTGAGTCTGCCTCGGAGCGCTGAGTGGGACCGGGGAGGAAACACGATTCCAGAGTTAGGCAAGGACTCCGCGTCTCTTCCTCAGCAGATGTGCGCCCTTAACCAAAACCTAACACCCCTCACCGTCCGCTTTCTCCCAGTTTTACAGCAAAAGAGCGTTTGTCCTTGGAGACAGGGAGCTCAGTAATCCATGAGGGAGCCGTGGCTGTCTGTTCCCAGCAACACGGCAGGGGCTCTTGTACCGGGTGGGCTGGCCTCAAACATACCCCCCTCAGTCAACTTCCATCATTCTCAGAGGACCCGGAATCTGACATTGTCACGACTGTGCGGCTGCCTCTCAGACTGGAGGAGGGACAAGTGAGGCAAGCGGGGCCCTTTATCAAGCAGGCACCGCCCTGCGGGTTCGCCTCTGATGCTCCATTCAGTCCTCCCAGCAGTCTCCACTTTGCAGAAGAAGAACGAGAAGGAACAATGTTCCCAACGTCACACAGTCACCTCAGGTGGCTTCCAAGTCCAACTTCAGAGTCCACTCGGAGAAGGAAAAGCCGGGCTGGGCTAACAAGGTAACTCACAAATCTAAGTGTCATAAGTTCTGCCGGGCTAACTCGTAAATCTGAAGTTTAGTGTCAGTTTACTGGGCTAACAAGCTAACTCGTAGATCCAAGCTCAACAAGTGTCAGTAACGTGATCTGTTCCTACTAGACAAGCCCCAGTGTGCTGACTCCCTGCTTTTGCTGTTCGGGCCTTATTGGCTAATAGCCCCATGCTTGTAATTAACCCTATAAAACCCCATGCACACATCTTGGAGGTGCTCAGAGCTTCGGAGCAGAAGCCCCACTGAGCCCGCCGGCGTAATACATCTGAGTGCTCCAACCCTCCGAGTGGTGCTTGTTTCTTGGCTGGCCTGTCGTTTCCGAAACAACTCCACTTCCAATAAAGTTCTTTTACCCTGCCTCTACAGTGAGGGTAACTGAAAATCAACCTTGCTCTTATAAATAGTAATAATGGAAAACCCTAAATAATAATAATGAAGGGTAATAATAATGGGAAATCCTAAGCTTGAGTTAATGGGTTTATTTTCACCGAACTCAGTTTCTGATCATTTAAGCCAGGTGATTTTCAAAACTGTAAACACTGTAAGATAAAAGTCAAATGCAAAACTGGAGATTACAGTTCAAATTTTCTGTCTTAAAAGTGTGAAGTTAACAAGCAGCAGCAGCGCCATCACAGCCTGCTCTGGTTTCAGGGCCCAACAAGTGCGTTGCGGCTTGCAAGCTTGGCATCGTGCTGCAATCTGCTCTACCCCAAGGAGCTTTTCAACGTTTGCCTTTAAAACAGCAGTGTCGATGTTGGACGTGCTTGTGCGTCTTCTCCCCACAGGATTTCGGGGGATCGTATCACCTCTAGTCTGCAGTGGCTTTTACTGAATTATCCACCCCCCTTCCTTGCTGTGCTTCTAATGAGAACACGAGGCAGCGTGCTGCTTCTCTGTGAAGCTCCTGCACCATTTGCCACAACTGAGACCTTTCTTCCTTTGATGCCCTCCTGGTTACCAACCGCAATGTAAGTAATTTTGAGTAACTTCAGTTTTACAGGTGGAACTTCTTGCCAAAGCTTGTGAATGAAGCAACTGGTCATTGTAAGTGTCTTGTGACAAACGTCCAAATGCAGTCTCTTCATGAACTGTTTTCCTTGTAAATTTTGTTTGTCAATTACCAAGTCAATTACTTTTTAAATCAATGTCACCTAGACTCACCTGACAAAGTGCAGGTATCAGAACAGACAGGTCAGGGACAGAGTGACAGCTGCTCACGGGTCCCACTCACCACGGAGCGAGAGCTGACGTGACCCCCATCCAGCTAAAGACATAGCTAAACGTTCACACCCCCTTGCTCATGAGTTTTAACTTTTTCAGTTCTTACACTTGTCCAAATGCATACATACTTTTCTCTGGAGGGCTTTAAAACACCTCGACGGAAGCACACAGACTTAACACTCTCCACTCGGGACAGACAGCACAGTGCACAGACTGGAAGCTTCTATCAAGGTGGAATTCACTTTTTTCTCCTACAACAAGCAGATGTGACTGCTCTAAAGACGCTGCAGTCACCAAGGCTTCCAGACCAATGAGCTGTGCACCACCAGTCTGAACGCTCACCCCCCTGAGGTAAGAGCAGGGGGCAGGGACGAGACCTGGGTCCAGCCCCGACCTCAGGGGACCACATCTCTCACGTTCCCACTGTGCCCGCCTGTGGTGAGAACGTGGTGCGACATGGCGTAAGCAGAGTAACCGTGGGCACCGAGGCCAAGCATAGCGGAGCAGGAAGAGCTGTGTGAATCTCACTGTCACACTGTCACCACCTGCCCGGTCAGGGCCCCAGAAATCAAAGAAGGCAGAGGGGCAGGGTCAGATTTACCGAAGCTTCGTGCTCAAACTCCGGGTTACACTGTGCTGCCTCCTCTGTCAGTGGCTTCTGAACGATGTTCCTGCAGACGAGCCAGATGGCCAGACTGGCAGCGAACATCCCGATGTCGGGCGCGAACACTCGGATCCCGTTCCCCGCGTCGGCTCCCTTCAGGCTGCAGAGCAGAGAAAACAGAAACAGAGAAAATCTAGTTCTTCTCACGTTTCTAGGGTTAAACTACCTGGAAGTACACTTGGACCTTCTTAATGATTTAAAATAAAGAACCCCAGTTTCTGCCTAAAGGCACAGGAAAGCTTCGCACTGACCCCCGTCTTGGGTCATCTGTAAGGTTCAGGAAGGTTCCAGGGAGTTTCAGAAACAGTATAAAGAACCCTAAACCAATTCTCCCTCCTAAAAATGCTAGTGAAATAGACTGTCGTTAAATAAGCCACATGTCCAGGACAGGCAGGTGTCTGCAGTCTGGCTGAAGCCGTGAAGGCCCAGCCGCGCGCCAGCAGCTGGGAGATACTCCGCCTCGGCTGTAACTCAGAGTCAGAGGGAAAGACAGAGAAGATGTTCAAGCCAGCCTCAGGCAGGAGCTCTTCATTATTCTGAGTCCTGAGCTGACTGTGTCTTCCATCTTGGGCCTGGAAAGGCAGGTCATTATCGGAGGACTCAGAATGAGAAGACAGCTGCTTCCCGCTGGAGACTTCCCCGCGTCCGGCGTTCTTCGTCTGAGCCAAAGAGATAACGCTGTTTGTTTTCATTATCTCATCGGACTCCAATGAAAGCGACCCGATGTGCACCACAGATAAAACTTGTTTAGGGGCGGGAAGCAGGAGACAGGAAATTACGTTGTGTGAAGATACATGTTCCCCCATACACCTTGTGTGATTAAATGCATACCTCACTCATTTACACTGTGTGTGCTGTAGATTTTGGTAAAAACATAATAAATAGCAAGACCTCTCTCACCTGGAAATGACCATATTAACATTTCAGTAAATTAAAAATGATGAATGACATCTACCACTTACTCAGATACTGCTTTGTGCTAAGAACTGGGCACACGTGACGTCGTCCAGCCCATCGCCACAAAGAGTGACGTGTTGTTATTCACCCCCCGTTGGATATGGGGGAGAACCAGACCAAGGCCCATTACACCCTAAAGCCCGAAGTTACAGGCTTTAGGAGACGCTCAGTCAGGGTCTCCTCGAATGCCTAGAGTCTGAATCAAAATGAAAGGATAATTTGGAAACTATACTAATGGGCAGCAAATCCCAGTAAATTTGGATTTGAATAGTCCTCTCATCATCGCAGAAGTCACGACACCTCATCCCATCTCCTCATCCAAGCCCCAGCCGCCCGCCTGCCTGCCCGGTGAGTCGCTGCAGTCTCGGAGCTGGGGGAGAGCTGGACACGGCCTAGCCCACTTCCTCACCTTGCCGCGCGGGTGCGCCAACCAGGGGAGGCCAAACGCTGGACCGAGAGCAGAGCCGTGGGCGGCGGCAGCGCCCCTCCTGTGGGGAGCTGCCACTCACCGCAGCTGCCCACAGCCGCCCCTCCCCCACCTGCCGCGACAGGCCCCGCCCACCTGCTCCCACCTCGCAGCCCTTGGCCCTTCTGACTCCCACCACACCCCGTCTCTGTGCTGCGCTGGACAAAGCTGCTCCCAAACCCAGGCTTCCTGCTTCTCCTCCCTTCCCTGTCTAGTTCCCCTCAGACGGGCCGGGCTGGGTGGTACCCACCACACTTCTCCACCTCCTGCTTCCATGCTGATGAGTCTGCAAGTATCTGCTCCTGATGTTTTTTCCCCCTTACTCTACATGTAAACCTGAATGGCATACCCACCCCCAAGGCTCCACTCCGAGTCTGCACAACGGCTGGCTGACAAACCCGCACACCCGGTCCCCCATGGTCCCCTCCACTCTGGGACTTCACAGCCTTTCAAAACCAAATGTGATCTTCATTCCAAAACCCGCCCTTCCTCGCTGGTGCCTAACCCTGGGAGATGGTGCTCTCATCAGGGCAGCAACCACGACAGAATCTGGACCCTGCCATCCTCATTGAAAGCCTGGGGATTCTGTCCCCACCCGCCTCTCTTTCCCCTCCTCTTTTCTGCCTCGGGGTGTCCCCTCTGCCAGCCAGGCCTCCGAGTTCCCACCAGAGCTCAGCCCAGCAGGGGCTGGGCGTGTTACTGACACTGCCTACGGGAAAGGTCCCCATCCCTGAGCACGGCATACGGGGTCCTCTGTAGCCGAGACCTTTTTCCTTATCTCCTGCTCTGACTGCTCTGGATCTCAAATTCCAGGCACCTTGAATGCACAAACCCAGGATATGCAAGTGTTTTCCCTCTGAGCTGGTGTGCAATTTTCTTAGGACGCCAGGGCCCTTCTCTCACACACTTCTGCAGGGTCCTCACCTGTCCAGACCCACCTCCCACCCTCCTCTGTGAAGGGGTGCCACTGCGCCCACACGGCTGGGCACGAAACGTTTACCCCTTTACATCACTCACTCACCTGTGAGTCTGAGTCCAGGAGGACTATTATGTATAGTATCTGTGTGTGTGTGTACGTGTGTGTCTGTGGACTGCAGCGTGGCTGAGTGCAGACTGGCAGAACTAAAGCTCTCTCCCGATATTTACTCTTTCCTTCCTGTAACAACAGTTTTTGCAAATTAGAGCAGACAGCCTGCCACAAAGAGCCCTGCACTTTAGCTCAGGGAAGAGCAAACACCAATACACAGGGCAGGATAGCCACTGCTGCCCAGGGAGCGGCTGAAGGCGGGGGGCTGCTGAGTGACATCTCGGTGGTCTGGACACGACCCAACTGTCAAAATGGGAAATGATAAACCATTTAAAAGTGCAGTTTTACTAAATACATCCGTCGGAGAAAACATTTCAAGAACAACAAACATGAATTGTGTCTAGTGAGCAGTAAGTGGCTGGATTTGGTGGAATCCAGCCATTTAATTTTTTAATCACTAAAAAATAGGTCTTAAGCATCTAGGCTGCACCAGGCACTGCCCCCGGGCACGAGTGCTGGTTAGGACAGTGTGTTTACGGAGGTTCAGTCAGGAAGAGGGGTCACGGCCAGGCCAGGACTGCCGAAGGATCTGGAGCTGAGAAGGACCACAACCGTCATGGCGATGAGATGGCAGAGGACGTGGCGACCTGGCTGCGGGAAGTGGAGCCGCAAGGTGGGGTTTTCACAGTGAGTGCGAGGTGTGCTGAGAGGCGGCAGGTCACCCTGGAAGCCACGTGGGGCTGGTGCCTGAGAGAGAAGTCTTGGCCGAAGGGGTGGCCTTGAGAGTTCTCCTCTCATGTATGCTGGATAAAGTCAGTGAGTAAATCAGGCAGTCTGGGAACGGCACACAGCACAGGGCAAATATCTGTGGAGGCTACGTGAGCTAACTGTGCGTCTGCACTGCAAAGCACTCAGCAATAAATCACATTTTACTTCAAGTAAATCCTGCATTTCCAATCAGGCAGACCAGGCTATGGGCAGAAGCCCTCTTCTAATAAATTAATGTGATCAACGTATACATTTCCCCATAAAACGTTCTCCTGGACAGTGCTACTTGCTGGGCACACTGCAATTTCATTTTTCATATACAAAAGCACATGCTAAATGGCTTAGAACATCAAGGTCTCCTAAACAGGAAACATTTCCTTTCCAATCTCGTTACGGTCACATTGATCTTATTTGCTCAGTGATTATGCCTCCTGAAGGGGAGTCAGGGAAGCTGGGAATTGGGAATAACCTAGCTATCCATCAAGAGAAAGACTATATCCTGGAAAGACTACAGATCAATAACTGAGCGCAGATGCATGTGGGACCTGGAGCTCCATCTGTAGACTTGGACGCATCTCACAAACACAATAGTGAGCAAAAAAAGGAAGCAGATGGACAGCCTACAGATCGCTTAGGGATTCACCGTTAGGAATCACATGGAAATGACAATCATATTTCTGGATAAGGCAGAAGGACACGATCAACTGTGTTACCAGCGACACCCGAGTTCTTACGCCCCTTGAAAGCTGGCTGGCACGTACAAAAGTCTATCTTTACTATCTGATTATTTTACAAGTCAGAAGAGTCAGACTACTCAGAACTCTTCGTGGAGAACACATCTAGAAAACGTGAAGCCAGTTACCTGCCAGGGGAAGAGAGCGACCAGCTGCTGCCGTCACGGCGGGATTCTGCGTGGTGTGATGGACTCAGGCATCAAATGCAGCTACGCCCTCGGGTCCTTCCGAGGAGCCCTGAGGCAGGTGCACATATTCACCACTTTGCTTTTTTTTTTTAAGTTTCAGGTTCTCACCAACAAAATGACTTCTTGGAGTCTTCCCAACTAAGGTTTCACTTTGACTCGGAAAATTCAAAATAAGGAGGCAGAGAAGTTGAGAATCACGTTGGAGTTTCAGGTACAACCGAGAAGGAGACTCTGGGATGGACACCATCACTGTCACTTTCAGAAGTTCAGAAAAAACGCCATTTATGCCGCTCCTTTGGGGGAGCAAGTCCCCCAGTTCAGAGTTGGCAGGAGGGTCAACTTCAGTTGAATTCCAGTAAAATAATTAGAATATCAAACAAGCACTATTCACATGAACATGTGCTGCTGAGAGGGTGGTGCCTGTCGCTGCTGAGAGTGCACCAGACCGGGATGTCATCCTGTGACATCCCAGCACCCAAGGCAAGGTGGTCCCGGAGGCCCCGGGGCACGTACCTACGATCACCCCAGAAGCCGCCTCCCGGGCTGCTTCTCCCGGGGGATCTCCCTGCGAGAAGAATGGACAGCTGGGGTAAAATTAGCAACGCGGGGTGCAGAGGAAACGGTTCCTTTGGCAAATCCCTCTGCTTGAAATTCTGGAAAACTATATTTCAACAGTTCAAGCCCTACTACAAAATCACTGACTTATGGGACTACAGCTAGGTTAGTAAGAGACTCTCTTGTAGACACAGATTCATTGTTCTTATAAACAAACAAAATAAACCCTCCTAGAGGGAGCCGTGGCCACTGAGGTCCGTCCGCGGGCGAACCTGAGCCGTGCACGCTCCCCCTGTCCTCAGGGCACAAGCCCTCTGCTCCTGCCCGGGTGCAGCAAGGGGGGGGCGGACGTCGGCGGCCTCCCTCCCGTGTAAGCCAGCGCGGCACCGGAGAGCGCCAAGGGGC